AAAAAAATTAACGTATTATAATAGGTATAAGTATTATATATGGCTATATAGGATAATATTGTTGCCTGTATGTATTGTAATTTATGACTATTTTGATGTACATCATACAATGTACATGTATACAATTATGTACCATATATATTCAATATAGGTATTAGGTATACATTAAGTTAGGTTACCTATACATATATTATACATAGGTATAATAATGTAATTTAGGTACTTCTATATTGTTCAACTTAAAAACTCGTATTTACACATAATGGAAACCTTGAAATATTGTAAAAATAATAAGACTAATGAATATGTCCTTCCATCATTAATGTATACTTTAATGTAAAACGATATAAACATGTATTACCCAGGTAATTTTTTAGTTGAAAAAATATAACATAAAACTTAAGTGCGCAGTCATAAGAATATTTTGTATCCACGCTGAACGCGTGACTCTTAAAGTGTCTCATTTACTATTTTAAAGAAATTATAATGAATGTGACGAAACTATTAACTATTAAGTTTTGGCTTAGACAAAAACACCAATGTACTTATGCATAATTGGAGCATTTCTATGTTCACTAATAGAGGGTAATACATAAAATATAAAGTTCAAATATTACAGCTTATTATAATAAGTTATTAAACATTAGATACCTAATGAATAGTCAGTAAGTACCTACCTACTAAGTATCTGCCTTTAAAAGTTAAAATAGCTTATAAATTCTTACAAATTAATAATACATTATTTTTTTAGTAAAATTACATAATTTGTTTGTATTGTTCAATGTTCAGTATTATTAATTATTTTAATTTTTAACCTAGCTATAGAGTATAATGTCCCTAAACAATTACAATTTACAAATTATAATGTGGGAAGTAAACATTTTTTAGTTATCACTCAGAACAATGAAGTTGGGAACTATATATTATTATTACTGCTGTAAAATACAATAACAATAGTACCATTCATTATGTTATACCTTAATTTTTTTATAAAATTACAAGTACTGAAGTACCTATGACCCTTACGAGGTGGAGGGTATTATTTTTGGTAATTACAATATTTATAGTAGAAACTAGGCAACAGAGTAATAAGAAGTATGCAGATAATAACTATACGTGATGGACTTTTTGGTACATTTATAAGCATACAGGTGTATTTAATGGAATGGAAATTAATATTTAATAGTGTTATAGCCGTTATAGGTAAAAGAATAATTTTTAGTGCATAGGTATAGGTATAACACGTAGAAAAAATTCTTTAGAATATTATTTGAGATGGTTTTGAGATTCATAATTAATCACTAACAATCAAATTTGGTATTTTTAAAATAAAACTATCAAACACCTATTATATAATCGGTAGGTATCACCAAATCTCAATAATATCAGACTTTTGATACCACAGTAGTCAGTAATCCACAGCTCGATAAGATTCTAAACCCGTGAATCGCAAAAGTGGTAAACTTTTTCGGGTAACAGTGATATTTTTCGTCTTAATGAGGGTTTATATTATACGTGTGTACCGTGTAGGTATACGAAAAATGTTCAGCTATGTTCAACAACAAGGTAACTTAGGTAACCAACCAATCACAGCAAAGGTTTTAAGCCAACGTGTGTAGTGGAAACCCGCCTTTAGGAAAACAGTCACTAAGGCCGGCGATATTGTTCTACACTTTTTTGAAAAAGATTATTGAGAAGTATATAAAAAAGTAGGTAAGGGCTGCTCCACACTCCGGTATTTTCAGTAGCGAGTCCGAACGTACATGGCTCAGTCAATTTAAAAACGGCTGATTTAGACAGCACCTAACGTAAAAATCACTGAGTTTAGAATCTACGGCTAAAATATACTGCAGTGTTATAATATAGTAGGTACTATATTATAAACTTTATAACTATAATAATACTTACTGTAAAAATATATATTTTTAATGGATTAATGACAACTATTTATCTATTAAATACTTACGACGAAAATAAAAGTTTCAATCACCGTGTGTAATCATGAAAGGCCAATGACCATTAACAATGTTGACATAAGTGAATCATTATAAAAATAAATAAGTACCTATTTGTTGAGTGAATTTCTTAATAAACTCATTACAGGCACAGTATACCTATAATGCTACAGTGCTATACCCACATTACTGTAATTTGACATGCGAAAATCGTAATAAAAATCAGAATTGAAGTCTCCAAAGTTACGAAAGTAATAACTTTTATAAGATTTATATATACCTAGTATATTAAGCACATATTTATTTATGTCATATACTCATATGTGATAAATGATAATAGTTGAGAATATATTAATAATATGTTCCTAACATATGTCTTATTCTGAATTTTGCTTTTAACATAGGTAAAATAATTGTATCATATATTGATAAAAAGTATATACAATAATAATAATATACAAACATGAAACAAATATATGTATATAAATATGAATTATAGAAAACAATTTTATTCATTATTGATTTGGAATTACAACTTGACAGCAAGGGCCATTAGTAGAAAACAATTTATATGAATGTTATCGTGTTTACATTGGTCAATTTTGTATTGATCGAATATCATGTCATATTGTCATGCCTACCTATCTACTTAGTACCTTTCTACACAATTATTATTTTTTCTATGAGTCTAACATTTAAGTAATTGGTAATTACAAATAATATTAAGTGTCCTGCTTTGTAGGTACATCATGATAAATTATTAATTATTAATTATGGATAGAAAAAAAAATAATGCATCATAAACATAATTATGTGGTATCTATAACCCCATGCATATTTATTTTATATTAAAAAAAATGAATGTAAAAATATACAGGTGATCAAAATACATATATATTATAAAGGCACATATTATATTATAAATACATTTTATGTTATTTCCTTTATTTTCTTCAGTCAAATATTCAATCGGTCTAATATTTGTTATTACATTTTTACTCATTATATACCAACAGGCAATAATCAGTATTATTACCATGATGATTATATAGATCTAGATAATATATGTAAGTAGTTTAAGTGCCCATATAACATAAATTTATTTCATCGATGCAATCGATTTCCTGGGGTACGTCCCGAACGTGAGTTATAAATTGAATTTGTCACTTAGTCATTGTATAGTGACAAGTTTAGTTGAGATGCAGGTGATTATTAAAAAGAAAATAAAAAAAATGTTTTTAATGGGTATTCATGTTCGGTTTATCATAAACTTGTTTCGAGTATTCAGTGGAAATGTTTTTAAAAAAATGACGAAAAATGTCAGACCATTTTAGTAACTTCCTGAAATTGTAACTGATAAGCTTTAAATTGTTTGTCAGAATTTATAATTTAAAATGAATGAGTAACAATGACGAAAGATTCTTAGTTTATGATAATGATCCGGAATCGAATGAGCGAATCATTTTTTCATTGGATGAAGTTTATTTATTAGAAGTAGATGCGTGGTTCTGCGATGCAAACTTAAACAATTGAATTCGGAATTTAGTTTTCAATAATATGTCATTATAATTAAAACGTTTGATAATTTTATAATACCAATATTTTGTTAATTAAAAAAAAACTCTTATTACACATGACTCACGAGGAAATGTTTACTGCAGTTCTTAAGAAATGTTCTGAAATCAATGTTTATCTCGATTATCGGATAATGATATGTACTTCGAACAAGCTGTTATCTAAGCAGTGTGAATAGGTTTATGGGACATTAGTGGCTTAAAATTAAATTAAATGTTTTGAAAATTTCATTGTGTACAGGAAATAAACTTAAAAAATAGAAAATTTCAAATTTCTATTGTCTATTATAGATATAGCACAAAAAGAACCAAAATATTATATATTTTGAAAATTATATCATTAATTAAACTGTTTAGTGTTTAGTAAATGTAAATGTATAAACATTTGATGACAATTTCAAGTATCAGCAAAAAACAAAAAACATTTTGTCATGAACTGGTTTTGCGTGAAAATTCCCGTTTTTCCTCACTTACTTTGTTTTCTCCGATTATTTTGAAAAATACTGGGAATTTTTTACTTATGATCCCTCCTAAAGTACTAACAAGATCTAATTTGCAATCAGAAAGCACCCCCCCCCCCTCAAAGTTGAAAATCTAAGTATTGATTCGTTATAATTCATGTACACAAAAAAAAAATAATAGTAATATCAATTTATTCATGGCTTCGTTCAGAATCTAAAAGTAGTGGGCAAGTGAGTTTAATATTTTTGGATTTTAGTATGAGGTAGTTAGTTACTTATGAGAAACCGTGTATTACATTTTCAAACTTGGCTATAAAAGTTGAACATTTTATAAATTTCTAAAAATATAGTCACAATAAAACACACATTGTAAAACCAATACACATATGACGTATAAATTCATCGCTATTAGCTTTACTTAGAATTAATAATGAATAATATTAATATTAAATTTTGCTTAGGAACATATATATTATACTGCCTCTATAATTATGTTATAATAGTAATAAATACAGTTAAAATAATAATAAATTGGAAATTGGATGAATGGAATTATTATAAAAATATTTGTGATAAAAATTTAAAAATTCTACAACTAAAGGTGTTCAATTGATATTTTTTGTTCAGTATTCAAAGTTTTTCAAGTTTACATTGTAAATATGTATTTTATTAGAATGCTGTAGACAGTCTGTAGGTCAATAGTGTTGTTTTAAAGATCTGGTCCGTGGTCATTCATTTTTCTTCTAAGTAATAATTTTCCCACAGGTATCTGTTGTTTACTTATTAGTTGTTTTATGTAACAGTGAATTTTCTAAATAGCAAATTAAACCATTGACGAAATAAACAATAACATTTTTTTATCGACTTATCGTATTCACGGCTGCGAGATGGCAGCGCTGCCAACTGTGCGCGTCCACCAGTGGTCCGAGACATTTCGTTCGGCCGGGTCGTGTTTACACTGGAACTGCACGGCCCCCACCACTCGCCAGACAGTCACTGCCACAGCCTGCTCCATCAGCAGTGCAGTGCCCGTGAACGTTGCGTGCGTGTGCGCCGTCCGTCTGTGGTGTGCATTAATCACAAACGATATTGTTATCAGAACGATATGGTAGTGCAAAGTTCGACCGTCTCGTCGCGGGTATCGTGGAAATAAAAATTGAAAGATAAAACCGACGTAAACCACGGCGCGTGTGGTCCGGTCAATCTACGTCCGTTCCTTCAGTCTAATTAATACATCGTAATCGTCCGGTAACGATCGCGGCCGTCTGGTGTCGAGTGCTCTCGTGTAGTTGGTGTGCGTACCGATTGGTGAAAATAGTAAATTAATATAAATTCGCGAGTGCATTGCCCGTGATATAGTGTCGAAATCCGCCGTCGTCGGTAGTTGCTCAATTTCATTTTGTTATTATCGTTATGTTTTATTATTGTTGTTATTCTTATTGTTGTGACGAGGTGAAACGATACGTGTTAAGCGTTCGCAATTCCTAATTGTACGACCGGTAACATAGGTCGTACCTGCCTATTTAGTGTATTATTATTGTATTTTATTTGTGCGTCCGAATTCCTTTAGTTCTCCCAATAATAAATATGACAACTCGCCGTCCACAGGCTTTTGGAGTTGTACATCTAAAGTGGCAATCGTAAATAAGGTGTATCCGTCGGTTTTCGCAAATGACACTGCAAACGCATTGGACAGCACCGACTACGCGACTGGTGCGAATAAGGTAAAATTTAATTCGCTATCATATTTTCATCCGCCCTAGATGCTCTTTACCCTAGTAAAGTCATCTATAATTGTTTATTTATTTCCGGAATGATTTGTCTTTGCCACTGGTTTTTCCGAGGGACATGGAGGATTATTGCGTAAAATACAGACGATGATAAGGAAGCTGATACCGAATACCTAATAGTTAGTACTTATCGGTCATAATCTGTGCAGTAGGTATTATTGACAGGTCGAGTACTCGGTCGGTTGTATACGCGTTATTAACAGTTATGTTTTAGTCGAGTAGTCGTGTCTTTAACTATTGGTACCTCGGTGTTGGTCGAGGTGTAGGTTATTGTTATGACAGTTTTCCAAACTGTCAAATAATTTTCTTCTCTTTTCCACCGCCGTTTTGTGAAAGCTGTATGGTTGTATATTAGGTGTGTGTGTATCTGTCTATTATTGTTATTATTTTTATTGTTGTTGCATTCTTATTTATCGTGAATTTCATACCTCCACCGTCGTTTGACATTGGGCGTAATATCTGAACAAAACGAATGGTTATAATTTTTAATAATAATAGTAAAAAAATTTGGAACTAGGTACTGCAGATAACTGGGCCAAGGATATTATGTATATTATATAAGTGATAATTGATAACACTCAGTATTTCAGTATTTGGGTGCACAATACGTACTGTCTATCACTTTTCAGGGAAAACGTGATTTTTATTTTTTAGTAGGTACCTATAAGTTTATTAGATTATCGTTGGTCGAGATTTCGATTGTCGTTGTATAAGCACTAATGCATTAATTTAATTATCAGCACTCGTTGCATTATTAGTGCCTTATTGCATTTAATCGTCAGTTTCGATGGCTACGGCTGCGAGGAAAACATTACTATTTACTATACCTAATATAAAATATTGAATATTCCTATACATTTTGTTTTTCATTTAATGATTGTAGTGAGTTAATGCATAAATATAGTATTAATATTCTCTCTCTCTATATATATATATATATATATATATATAGGTAGGCAACTAACCACTAATCAGTAATAACTAATTACGTATTATGTTATTATTTGATGTACTATGTTACGTCTGTGTATGATGCTTTGAAAGCAATTAGTGAAATATAAGTTATAACCCTATGAGAGCCTTAACTCAACTCCCTTGTTAAGGTTATTCTTTGGGTGGCTACGATTTTATATTATTATAATGCATGTTTGAAAGCCAATTTACGTATATTATGTTTGAGGTTTTTTTAAAGAAATAATAAGCAATATATCTTTCCGTGTGGGCATTTGTGATCAGTGCATTCAAAAGATATGGGAAACCCTATTGTTACCATAGAAAACTTAAAAATCTTCATAACAATAATTTACATACTTATTAAATATTTGTATTGTTATACTTACCTACTGTATACGTTATTTTTACTACTTTATACTTAGTATGAAATCATGTTTGTTTCACTGGTGTGTAAAAATGAATTTAAAGTATTTGGTATTTAAGAACCAAGATAAAATTAGTAAGATAAATAAATTATTGAATGCGTGATTTAGGTTTATCTATCAACCTTCATTTTTTTGTTTCAGTAAAAAAAAACAGTTGCTTACCTACAAAATCAATATTAAAAAAAATGTTAATAAGAATAATACCATTGTTTATATTTAATATTCACAGGTTCAAAACTGTGCAATGATATATTTTTAAATATAATTAATATTAACTTTAAACAGTTAAAATAATATAAATATGAGAGTACGTAAATATTGTAGGTATAATAAAAGTCTTATAAAAATGAATGAGTACAAATTAGGTAGGTGTATTGAAAAAAAAACAATATTAGACAATACCGACTTTTTTATTTTCTTACCTGTAATAGATGTATGGAAACTCCGCTAGTGCTTATGTAAAAATCAATAATATATCTTAATTAAAGAAGCTCAAAAATCCAAAATGATAGTGTTAGAGAACGTTATAAATAGTTATGATAATGGATTTATATTAGACTGAGATGTCAGAATATCTACAAATTGTATCTCATCATTTTAGTTCACAGTTCCACAACTGGTATATTCCAATATGGTTTATTATAACATAACATAATATACCTTGGTTGCCAGATACATATTTTATGATTATTAAAATTATTTATTATGGTAATAGATTAATACTACTCATGGCAATTTGGATGATTTGTACTGACAATTATTATTTTTATTAGTTTTTGTGTATTTTTTGGGATATTCTAAATTATAATAATGTACATGATATCTATCGTATATATTATTTTATACTGTGACTTGATTTTCTTCACTGACAAAGTTTACATGAACCCAATTTTACCTGTTTTTTTCTGGCGGAGCTTACACTAAAAAAAGGTACTTGTGGCAGAGTTTACATGCGCTCAAAAATTTATATTTACGAAAGGACTTTTTTTTCAACGGCACACTTATGTTGATAATAAAAAAAATATAGTGTTGTCTTACTTCACAAATTCTATTGTTAATAATTGTCATTATTGATGTATGTGGTAGGTAGCACTTATATAATTTCGCTCTTCAAAGTTCAAACTGGTTGTTATTATTCGACTTGTTGAGCATTATCAAAATACTATAGCGAAATTGGTTTTATCATAGTAAAAACTAAGAAGCAGGTATACCTACATTATATATACACCATACACTATTATACACGGTTTATTCGGATAATATATAACCCAATATTCATAACTGTACAGGTACACTTTTAAAATTACATTCACCTGATAATAATTATGAATATATAATATGATATATTTATATCAAAATAGAATTAGGTTTATCTACTACTTATTATTTATACGAAATGTATATACTATATTGTAATGTTATTATTATTTGTGTGTTGTATCGTGGTATTAATTTGATACCTATAAATTGCAATACGATAAGTGGGTTTTGGATATTGGACTCTTATAGTTGTGGTCTGTTCATATCGCAGAAAATAAACATAATTTTAACGGTATCACAACCGTATTATAATATGGTCACGTTTTGTTTAATTTTTTTCTCGTACGTTTCATTCTTGATGCCTTGCACAAATTCAATTGTTATTACTGCTCAAAACCAATAAAAATACATTGTTTCAAAAACAAATTAGTCGGTCCATCTAGCCGTACATCAGCTATAGGTGTGTAATGTAGTAGGACATTAAATTACAACGGTTTATTTCGATTTCCTCATGCTTATTGTGCCTATAATACATCGAACCACACTAGCTGCATGTTGTGTCCGAACTATCTGCTATTTGCTGTATATTACCGATGATCGTTTAGTCGATCGATGGTAAATAATTTTTCAAAATGATTATTTTATAAGTATGGGTTTACTTATGAATATAACATTCATTGCTGTGCATTTATGATTTTATATATTATTTAACTCGCTCATAGTCGAGCTCATGGTGTTATGTATAGCCATTATATGGCCTACTATATAGCCATTTAGGTTACGTTCCTACATTTTGTTGTTTGTGTATGAATTTAAAATTTTAGAACTATTTTCTTTTTGAGTTGATCAAAAGACAAAAGTAATATGTAACTACACAAAACTATTTTTCAAAATGGACTTTTTGACTTTTTATCCATCTTTGCTACAGGCCTATGAAGGTCATGCTTGTAATAATGTAATCGGTTTCCGGTCACACTCGCGCGTGACTCATCAAATCGTGATTACAATATTGTATTTTAATGAATTCGGCCGCATCGTGCGATTATTACCACTATACGTCCATACGGGTTGTTTAACTAGGACTACCGCCTTGTCAAGCACCGACTATGTAATGCCCTACTAGTTTTGTCCAACGTGCTGGTTCTCGTTGATTTATTATACATTTATACTGTATCGCAATATGATAGCCAATAGGTAGATATACAAATATACAATTTATGATTTCATGACGCAATTGTTGCAATGGACATGACAAGTACCTTCTTATGTCCTCACCCCTGTGTGCAATAAGACTAAAAAGGAGAAGTGTGGATTCCGTGAAAATTTAGGAAAATTATGGAAACATTTTATTTTTTTGGTTTAAAAAATTATAAAAAAAAATCCTAATGATTATTCATTTTTAATAATATAATTATGTATGGTTAAACAGCGGAATTGCGTCTAAAGTTATTAGGTAGGTATGTGTAGCATATTATGTACTAATGTGCGTATACCTTTGTTTAAACTTGTAGTCATTAACTTATGATATTTAAATTATTTATGTATTAATAAAATATGCATGCACAATATTCCATGTTGATGTAACAATGCGATTTTATTATAACCTATTAGTTTTAGTCTGTTTCACTTCAAGAGCATAATATGCTGGACTATTAAAACGGAAGTCATGAAAGTTTTATAATTTCCAGTCGACAGAATGCACACACTCTAGTCTTTAGTGTTTACCTGATTGTTAATATCCTTCTTTGAAATGTTTGACGAAAGCCGATGAAAAGCAGAAACGTTTCATATCAATATAAATGTCTGTACCACGGAGAGTAACTGTACAGAATTAACCCTCCAGAGCGATAAATCTATATAGAAAATCTTATGGCTTATTTCTATAACATCTGGAATTCGTTACTTAAATGGGGCGCAGTCTTTTTATTTATACATTTTTTATACTTTATGTCGTAATACAAGTTACAAGTTACAATGTATAAATATTTATATCTATATTTATCTTAATACTTAAATATTATTAATTTAATAAAATAATTATATTATATATACTAGGATCAGCTGTGACGTATTTATTTGAATAATTATTTTGGTCGGATATACTTATAAAGAGTAATAGTAGACATTTCGTTTTCTAGATATGATTGCCAATTATTGCAAAACAAGTTGATGCCAAATTGTCCTAGACCAAAAAATTGACATTGGCCTTTGGTGTCGTACTATCATATTTTTACTTTCATCGAGCTGCGTCTAATTCTATTTTCTTATAAAACATTTATTATAAAGTGGCTAGTG